CTGGTCTTTGCGTCACCGGGGACGGAGTGACACGGGGCTCTGAGGAGATGTGCTGCTGGCCAGGGCCTCTCCTGCCTGCCCCAAGGGCTGTGATCCAGCCCTGCTCCTCTGCCATCCCTCACATCTCTCAGAGCCAGCCTAGGGGCGAGCAGATGCCCGGGTGTGCACAGTGGGCACCGGGCAGGGCACTGCACATCCTTCCCGTGGCCATCCACATCCAATACTGCCTGGCAGACAGCACTGGCGAGGAACTGGAGCAGCTCCCACGCAGCTGAGGAGAACCAGCCGGGGTGGCACTGGTCCCCAAGCCTCCAGGCTGCAGAACCCTCCACATGCAGCCACTGTGGTGACATTTCTGCCCAGGTGAGTGCCCCCAGGCTGAGCCCTGCTGTGGGGAGGGCACCTGGGCTGCTGAACTCCTTGGTGGGCTTCCTTCAGAGCCCCAAGCACTCCTTGGACAAAACCCCTTCCAGTGTAAGCCCCTACCGCTGATATTTTCTCCAGGACACCTGTTGGCAGGTCAGGTTTCCTTCCAGCACCGAGGGCTGCCTCAGGCGTGTGGCTGCCGTGAATTACAGCTGGAGCAGAGAGCCCTGGAAGGGCCATGGGGTCTGAGCCGGGATGGATGAGCTCAGCCCATGTCTGTGCCTGACACTGCGTGCAGCCACATTTCCTGCCCCAGGGCACTGACTGCAGCCTGACCTCGCTGGGAGACACCGAGGGGCCACACTCGTCCCCACAGGGTCCCCCAGCCAGCGCTGCCATTCCCAGAAACACTGTCCCACAGCAGAGTCGGGGGGAATTGTCCTTTCCCATGGATCTGCAATGCACGGTGCGACTTCACAGGGATCCATCCCTGGGGCCATCTCTCCCAGGGCAGCCCTGGCAGGAGGCACCAGGAGGGACCAGGTGGCACCAGGAGGGACCAGGAGGGACCAGTCACCCTCCTGCAGCACAGGTCATTCCCCACTCACAGGGAAACTTTGTGAGCCCCTGGATGTACCCCCAGGCTGACCCAGCCCCCGGTGTGCTCTGCATTCACAAGGCACAGCTGAACTAAAGGCAGAGCAGGTTTGGTTTGCTGTCACCGTTCCTTGGTGAGCCTGCTCCTCTCTGAAATGATGCTCTGTACACGTTAGCACGTTCCTTTGGAGCCTCCCTTAGCTCTGCTTCACGCACTTCACACAACCAAACATGCAACCCAGACCATTTCCCCGTGCTCTCACTTGTTTCCTATTTATGTGTGCACCTACAACATCATTTTGTCGTTTCTAAGGGCTTGGAATTTCCTAGTCATCCTCAGAGACTGGTGGGAGTCGTATTTAGCCCAAGGTTTTGGGCTGCCTACTACCCAGAAAAAATTATTTCAACTTGTGTCAAAAGAAGAATTTTCCTCAGCCCAAATGGATGGATTTTTTTCCTCTCCTGGTTTGGATTTGCTAATGAAATAACTGTTGTTTTTTGGTGTTTTTTTTCTTTTAATTTTTTTGTTTGGTTTTCTGTTTTGTTTTGTTTTTAGTTTGATTGGTTGGTTGGGTTTTTTTTTTTTTTT